GGGATTTCAGTTTTGAAAATTGAAAACATAAGCCACAAATCTGATATACACTAAAATGTTTAGTGTCATAAAATTAAGGCTTCTGGGTATTTGCTGGAGAATTACTATATTAGAGTATAAATCCCATTGGATGATTTAAACAAGATTTATGTTTGTTTGCCATTAAGTATCAATTTAAACTATTGTTTTATACTATTTAGAAGAAAAAAATAAAATCATTAATTTTTTTTCCACTTTCTGATTCACACTATAAATGTTTTTAGCTACAAGCTTGGTAGAGATGAAATTCGTGTTAGTTTATGTTTTAGTCACGTTGGACATATTGTTTTAGTAATTTGCTTGTGATTCAAGACAACTTTAATGTTTCTTTATTGATAGTCAAAGAATAATGAACATCAGTTCAATGCCAAGTTGGGTGAGAATAATTAGTGAATTTATTATTTTTATTTCTTGTCTTAAATTTTGAAATTTTCTCTTGAAAGCAATTGAGCTCATAAGTTTCTTAAGTGTAGCAAAATGCAGGAAATTACAACTAGACATTAGTAATTTTCTGACTTTGGTATGGGAGCTGATTCTATTTCATGCTTCATAACGATTGTGGAGGTCATTTTCTCACTAAGTAGTGAAAAGTATTGAACATATCTACATTAGGACTTTTACTATTAGCTGACTGTCACACTTGCACGCCATTTGAAATGATGGTTTATTATCTAATAAAGTTTCTTTCTGAAAATAAAGTGAATTAGATCAACTTTGCTGTTCAATATCCCCTTTTGCCATGATAAAGATCATACTAGATTTTAAATAAATAAAGATGAGCTGTTTGAAGGGCTGCTTTTGATACTTCTTTTGAAATTGTTTTTGTAGATTGTGACTAATTCTGGCCGTGCAAGTACATTAGCTGCCACTGATGCAGCTACTCCTACTTTAAGGCGCATAGAAAGAGCAGCTATTGCTGCTGCTACTCCTATTACTTACCATTCAAGGTTTTTGTCCTCTCTCAAATTTTATCATTCTGGTTTTTCCTATTCCACTGCTACCTCCTCCCCTCCCTTTTGGGGGCACCCTTCTCTTATTGCTAATGGCTTCTGTGTTATGTTATCTTGTTCAGGGAACTTTTGCTTCTAATTCATGAACACCTACAGGCATCTGGATTGGCACAAACTGCTTCTATGTTGCTTAAAGAGGCACAGTTTACTCCTTTGCCATCATTGGTTCCTGCCTCTTCCCTTCCACAACAGCCCACAACACAGGAAGCTTCTTCAACACAAATTCAGTGGCCCTCTGGTCGTACTCCTTCTGGATTTCTCTCTAACAAATTAAAGTTTAACTCAAAGGATGAGGATCCCGTCTTCAAAAGTGAATCTGTCTCTGCAAAGAAAAAATCACTAACTTTCTCATCATCTTTTCATTCAAGACTCCAACTTCTTGATTCTCAACAATCATCTGTGAGGAAATTGTCAAATACTGCTAAAGAATCTTTAGAAACCAGTGTAGTAGAGACTGGATCGGAATCTTCAGTGAAACATAACATTGATAATGGATCTCAGTTTAAGACTCCAGTAGCTGTGCTAGCAAAACGGAAGTTATCTGATTTGAAGGACATATCAATGTTTTCTTCATCTGGAAAACGATTAAATGTTGGGGATCAAGGACTCCGCTCTCCTATTTGTTCAAGTGCAATTCGTAAAAGCAGCCTGCAACCTGATGCAGTTGGACTTTTCACCCCAACTTGTAACGTGAAAAATCAACATAGCCGTTGTACGGGTGACTTGGTGGACGAGAATCAGTGCAGTATGTCAAATCTATGTCAGATGACACCATCCTCCCAAGTTTTAAACGACCTTCAGCCCAGCAACCCTGAGCGTGTAACATTAGATTCTCTAGTGGTTCAGTATTTGAAGCATCAACATCGCCAATGTCCAGCTCCTATTACAACACTTCCTCCACTGTCACTTCTGCACCCGCATGTCTGTCCTGAACCAAAGCGAAGCCTTGATGCGCCTTCTAATGTGACCGCAAGGCTTGGTACACGCGAGTTTAAATATATGTATGGTGGAGTACATGGGAATCGCAGGGATCGTCAATTTGTTTACAGTCGGTTTAGGCCTTGGCGCACATGTCGGGATGATGCTGGTGCCTTGTTAACATGCATTACATTTGTTGGGGACTCCTCTCATATTGCTGTTGGAAGCCATAATGGGGAGCTCAAATTTTTTGAATCCAACAACAGCAATGTAGTAGAGAGTTTCACAGGTCATCAGGCTCCTTTGACTCTTGTTCAGTCTTTTGTTTCAGGCGAGACCCAGCTATTACTTTCTTCAAGCTCCCAAGATGTTAGATTGTGGGACGCAACTTCAATTTTAGGTGGTCCTAGCCATTCATTTGAAGGATGCAGGGCAGCCAGGTTTAGCAATTCTGGGAATGTTTTTGCAGCCCTGTCATCAGAATCTTCCCGACGGGAGATCCTCTTGTATGATATCCAAACATGTCACTTAGAGTCGAAGTTGACAGATACATTTGCAACTTCTACAGGGCGTGGTCACGTTTATTCTTTAATCCATTTTAATCCTTCTGACTCAATGCTTCTTTGGAATGGTGTCTTGTGGGATCGACGTGTCTCTGGTCCTGTTCATCGCTTTGATCAGTTTACAGATTATGGTGGTGGAGGCTTTCATCCTGCTGGCAACGAGGTATGCATAATCTTACATCCGTTTAAACAATAGAATTTTGAAACATGGATCAGACAAAGCACCATATTATTCTATTATAAGTAATGGGGAATTGTAACTTTAAAATAAAATTATCTTAAATTGACTACTAGTGAAAAGTGAAAAAAATAGGCATATGCAAAATATGTGTATATTATTTTCTTATCAGTCTGTATGAAGTGAATGAAGGGATGTGTAAAGCTTTGAATATTTTCAACTTTATTCTGAAGAAAGGTTGTGATTTTTTTATGTTTGTAAATAAATGTTGTTGGACCAGGTTATTATAAACTCTGAAGTCTGGGATCTGCGCAAGTTCAGATTGCTACGCAGTGTGCCTTCATTGGATCAAACATCAATAACATTCAATGCGCGTGGTGATGTAATGTATGCTATCTTAAGGAGAAATCTTGAGGATGTAATGTCAGCAGTCCACACTCGACGCGTCAAGCATCCTCTTTTTTCAGCTTTCCGCACAGTGGATGCAGTTAATTATTCTGACATTGCAACTATCCCTGTGGATCGCTGTGTTCTTGATTTTGCAACTGAGCCTACAGACTCATTTGTTGGGCTGATTACCATGGATGATCAGGATGAGATGTATGCTTCTGCCAGAATATATGAAATTGGTCGTCGGAGGCCAACGGATGATGATTCCGATCCTGATGATGCTGAAAGTGAGGAGGAAGATGAGGATGACGACGACGATGATGGTGATGTTGATCCTCTTTTAGGCCCTGGTCTTGGTGGGGATAGTGGCAGTGATGCTGATGATATGAGCAATGATGACGAGGAGGATGATAGTGTGAGTGATCTTGATGAAGATGAGGATGGAGATTTTATTTTGGATGATGTAGACTTTGATGGTGGACCTGGCATATTGGAGATCGTGACAGAAGGTGACGAAGATGATGATGATAGTCAGGTACTTGAATCCTTAAGTAGTGATGATGAGGATTTTGTGGGTAATGGCTTTGGGTATTAATTTTTAATCGAGGATAAGCTGTAATTATTTTCTTTCTTCATTATATTCATTTTTGAGCGAAATGTCAATTATTTTGGCTCAAAATTTTGCTGTTATCTTTCACCTTTATGTCATGCGAATTTATTACGCCGGAAGGTTTAGAAGTGCAGTTGTATATAATAATTGTTACAAACCGCAGTTCTACCGAGAGCCACTTTGTGGTCCTCCGTGCTATGATCTAATAGAGGAAGAAGGAAGAGTCTACTCCTTAACTGTATTTATCAACCATCCTCAATCGTGTTCTATTTTTTTCCTCTACCCTGGGTCACTGGGATAATAATATTCGGGCCACCAAAAAGAACTACACTTCTCTACGAGAGTTGACATCACATCTGGAACTTAACAGCAACGAAATCTGACTAGTTTTTTCCCATTTTTATTGTTTACATATAAATATTTAAATTAAAAGATGTGGTTTAACTAATTTTTATTGTAGTTACAACTTTCTAGTCTAAAATCAGAGGTTAGTTGTATATGAAGTGAAATAGTGCTTAAAATATTACCACAAATGAAGTTAAGTAAAACATGTAAAACAAAAATATATATTCCAAGTGGTGTTAATATCATTTTTGCTAAATAATCGCATATATTATAGGTAAAGTTGTCACTAAATGTACTTCCCTTGTTTTGCCATCTAGCTTTATTTGCGAAAAAAGGATGTTGCTGTTGCGCACTATTCACAAACATGGAGAAACCACATATCTTTGGTTAAAACTCGTCATCATTGCAGCAAGTGGTCTATCAGTCATCTTCACAACACACTCAAAAAATCTCCAAATTGAAGCGGTTCTAAACATGACATCACACTTTACAGTTTGATTTTTGTATGTTTATTAACAAATCTAAGCTCTTGATAATATCTGTGAACAAATTAATCCAAATTTTAACTCTAATTTTATTTCTAACGAACACATGTAAAGTTGATTTCTATGAAAGCGTACGTCTAGCCGTTACAGTCGAAATGGTGATATACGACAAACGGATATATGGTAATATAATCTACACTATGATATAAATTATATTTGTAACTTCATTTGATGTTTTTTTAATAAATAAAAAACATTTTCTTTTACCTAAGAAAATAGTATTTAAATAAAAATTTTATTTGAAAATAATTAAATATTTTTTATTTCAAAATAACTGTCACATATTTTTAATACTATTTTACCAAAATTATACATTTTTTTAAATTGTACTATCTTCGTATTTTTAATTAATTACTGATAAAAATAATAAAATTATAGTATTTTAATATAATAACACACATGTGTATCCACGGTGTCTGAAACAACAATAGCCGTCGAAGACCAAAACCCTTCACTCTGCAACTCTCACTTCACTCCTAGTCTGCTTGTGAGACAATGATGATGGCAGGGACATACAAAACCCTAACAAATACTTTCCTCCATTTCCCATTCACAACTAAACCCCAAAACCCATTGACCACACACTCCAGTAACCACTCTTTCCCTTCTTCTCGCCTCCGCCACCGTGCCATTTACGCGGTTGCCAACCCAGTTCAACCTCCACAAATAGCCACCGACTCAACCACTCCGGGTCAGTACCGAGTCGACGTGCTCTCTGAATCGCTCCCCTTCATCCAGAAATTCCGCGGCAAGACCATAGTCGTCAAGTACGGTGGCGCCGCCATGAAGTCCCCGGAGCTTCAGGCTTCTGTAATCAACGACCTGGTCCTCCTATCTTGCGTGGGCCTCCGCCCCGTCATGGTCCACGGCGGCGGTCCCGAGATCAACACCTGGCTTGGACGCCTTAACATCCCCGCTGTCTTCCGCGACGGCCTCCGCGTTACCGACGCCGATACCATGGAGATCGTCTCCATGGTTCTCGTCGGCAAGGTCAACAAAACCCTCGTCTCCCTCATCAACAAGGCCGGGGCCAACGCCGTAGGTCTCTCCGGCCTCGATGGCCGCCTCCTAACCGCCCGTCCCAGCCCCAAGGCCGCCGATCTAGGCTTCGTCGGCGAGGTCGCCAGAGTCGACCCTGCAGTCCTCCGCTCCCTCATCGACACCAACCACATCCCGGTCGTCACCTCCGTCGCCGCCGACGAGTCCGGACAGCCCTACAATATTAACGCCGACACTGTCGCTGGAGAACTGGCTGCAGCGCTTGGCGCGGAGAAGCTGATTCTGCTGACAGACGTGGCGGGGATCCTGGAGGATCGGAACGATCCCAACAGCTTGGTGAAGAAGATTGACATAAAAGGAGTGAAGAAAATGGTTGAGGAGGGAAAAGTTGGAGGTGGAATGATACCTAAGGTTAATTGTTGCGTGAGATCGCTGGCACAAGGGGTTACTACCGCGAGTATTATTGATGGTAGGGTTCCTCACTCTTTGTTGCTCGAGATTTTAACTGATGAAGGTGCTGGAACTATGATAACTGGCTAACTTTATTTATGCCTTTTTTCCTAATTTTGTTGCTCTCTTTTTCTCAATCCCGTTTGTACTACCTTCAGTTGAGGTTGCATTGCAGCATTTGTTTTGTTAGATTCTTGATTTTTTTTAAGTGCGTACAACGTAGAATTGAATTGAATATAAGGTAGTTGATCAATCATAGCATGCAGAGTCATTAGCGATCTCTGTATGGTCAAATACTAAAGAGATTTCTTGATCATTTCCATGAGGCAAACAAGTTGGGTTATTAATTCCAAGACACTTGGGAGCTAGTATGAGCGCAAGGATAGTGTTATGGACAATTACTTTTTCCTTACTTTTGCATTACAAAATTTGATTAATGGATTCTGCAATTTGATTCTGCACATTTTATATCACTGCTACTTGGCTTCCTTGTTTGTGTCCATTGTTAAGACTGCCACCTGGATTGTTATTGTCACTCACACCACTTTCATTCCATGATGAGCATTTTTGACAATGCTGTGATGCATAATCCTCACAACAAAAAACCTGCAGATTTTTTTTCTTTTAAATTGGCTCCTTTTTGTTTGGAGAATCGGAGAGATCCTCACAACGAAACATTTACTTTGTTAGCACAAATTTGTTTTATGCCTAAATTTGCAATTGATATCATGAGGAGGAAAGAAAAAAAATCAACATAACTTATACTCAACTCAGTTTGTTAGAGATATTAAGCAATGTGTGATTACTTATCAGATTAAATGTTTCAGAAGTTAATTATTCACTCAATCTAATTCACATGTGGCACAAGGGATTACAATTATTAGTACATTTTACGGTCTACTATACACTCTTTACTAGCGATTTTAACTTTTGTGTATGTTGGGACTATGGGATTGAAATAAGTTGTTAGATTTTGTGTGAGTCTAGGTTAACATGCTTTATCATCTCAGGATCGAAGTAATTTGTGGTTTTGTAGTATATGGCAAGCCCTGTTTCAAGCTTAGTATGCCTAGCATACAAGTCTGGCCTAACCCAGTAAAACCAGTTAAGTTGTTTAATGGTCCGTACAAATTACTTTAGCCATCTTTGACCATTGTTACAATTCTAAGATTCGTTGTTTTAAGAGATTGATGCACTTCTCTCTCACCATTGCCCGCAAAACAACTCATTGTCATTGGGATTTGTTCTTAACCTGAAAAACACCATGACAGAAGGAAGCATAAATGGACCTTTTCTAATTTACATGTAACAACCCAATGGTAAGGTAGCTAGGAATTTCCTGAGAAGTGGCAAAATCATGCGCCAACATCTTCTCCAACTTCACCTTCAAATCAATATCGATTTCAGCAAGAATGGAAAATTCTTCAACGAAGTCAATGGGTTTTGCTTCATACGACGTGAACAACACCTTGAAGGAGTACTAAAAAGAGAGTGCTTCATACGACGTGAACAACACCTTGAAGGAGCACTAAAAAGAAAGTGCCACTCTCTCGTTCCTGAAGTACACAAACACGAACGCCCACGTTGAGCGTTTGAGTTTCCACGACGAGTGGCATGATGGTAAATAAATGAGTGGAGGGGTTTTGGGTGTATAATATATATACATATTGAAAATAAAATTCTGAAAATTAAGGTGCAAAACATGTTATTTCTCATTTTTGTGTGTTATATTCATGTTTCTATAATTTTTAGTTTGGTGAAAGTTAAGAAAAGATATACAATTTTTTATGCAAATGTTGAGACCAAATTGGGCCTCTAACATGGTGAGAAATGAACTACTCATGTGATGAAAGATAAGATATCCAAATAGGTTCGGAAAAAATAAAATGATAGCTATGAGATGTGGAACCATAACTTCGTGAGAATACATCAACCGAATTTGATCGTTAACGATGTCAAAATCACATTTGGAACTGATTTTTGACCTAAACAACTATTTTTTTTACCATTTCCTACTTTCTTGTGCTATCTTTAGGAGGGAAAAGTTCAAACTCTTCATGGGTCAAATTATGGCAGATTCGAAAATTTATTAGGTTGTGAAATTAGAAATACAAAGATATATTATAAATTGGGTTAAATATGTTTTTCGTCCCTTAAGTATCACACGATTTTGGATTTAGTCCCTACTCGAAACTTTTGTTCTTTTTAGTCCTCTTAGTTTTGAAACTATTACAATTAATCCTTAAAATTAAACAACGTTAACTTTTGTTTGATGTGGCAAACGGCGAGGCCACGTCTAATGCCAGTTACTGTGCCACGACATTTTGGTTTCTGAAATCAGATTAGGGTTCTTAACTTATTTTTCTTAATTGGGGAAAAGTGATTGCCTCCTCCTATAGATGAACCCTGATGACACTATTCAAGAGTCGCTTTGATTGGGGTGCTTGCAATGAGATCCGCCTAGAGCCAGTAATCAATGAAGTGCTGCCTTCGCAATCACAACCAACCGACGCAATTAACAAATAAAGAAACAGTGAGGGAATAAAGCGAGGAAAAACGAGAGGAGAAGGAAGAAACTTGTTCGATGAGATGGTGAACGAAACTTCCATTGGAGGTGAGATTGAAGGTTTCTTGGTAGGACCTTTTGAAGAGTCAGAGCAAAACGTAGGTGAACATGTTCTTTTACTTTCGCACTGTTGTCGTCCTTGCTCCGCTGCTTCGGCGGATTGCTCCAGCGAAAGTCGTGCCAACTCCACTGCATTTCAAGCTCTGTCGCTTCCTGTACTTCTTCCACCGACGTGGAAATGAAGGCAGTGGAATCGGTTCAGTACATCATCAAGGTATAAGAAACTTTCAAAACTTTTGGGCCAATGAATAAATGTTTTTAATATTCGAAGTATAAAAGGGGGTTGTTCCTCCATTTGTGCTTTTTTTTCTTCTTCTTTTCGAGGGGTATCCATTATCTTGCTATAATGTGTTGAAAACTCAGTTGAATTTTGTATTCTTTGTTAATATGCGGACTATGAATTTTTTGGCTGAAGGTCTGTATAGTTGTATGGAAGATCAAATCCTATCTGTAATGAGATTCTAGAGTTAAAATGGCAACGACAGTTAACATTATTGCATTACATATTTTTCAGGCATGAGCAAGGGATAGAGAGCGTGTTATCTAAAACACTGAAACTAATAAAATTGAAATTTGGGAGTTACATTCAGACTGCCATTGTATTTGCTATTTCTCGGAGCACTTTGAAATTATTTATGTTCCACCTTTTTCTTCTTCCTCGACCGCTTGCAAGTGATCAGCGTCGGTGAGTACGATTACCAATTTGTAGTTGCTCATTTTAGAAAAAAAAACGCAACGTGGAACACAGTCACAAGGAAAGCTGGTATCACACGTAGTTCGCCGTTAGACAAAATCTAACGACATTCAATTTTAAGGACTAATTGTAATAGTTTCAAAACTAAAAGGACTAAAAGAAACAAAAGTTTCGAGTAAGGACTAAACCCAAAATCGTGTGATAGTTAAGGGAGAAAAACATATTTAACCCCGTATAACTTCAAAAGTGTGTATTTGGTATTATATAATTTAAAATTATATTTTAAATTGTACAATTTAAAATGTGTTATCGAATTTTAACTTTTTTTAAATAAAGAATCGGATTACGGGTCTAGAATGCATTTTTAAACTACATTAGTTAAAAAAAATGGAAATAGATTTTGTTGTGTCAATTTATTTATGGAGAGCATCAAGTACAACTTAAGGTTATACATTATAAATTCATATGCTTATCAACATTTACTATTATTCTATATATGTATATTATGTAATCCTGCTTAATAGGAAGAGTTTTACATCATAACAAACAGCTATCTATATATTTAATAATGTCATTCCAAAGATATTAAAGCAATTAGCATCTTAAAGAAAATACCTTGAACTTTTCTTAAATAATTTATATTGAACAAGTTCATTTTCTACTTCTACCGTATACAAAAACACATGAAAGAAAAAACGTTAAAAAAAATTAATTTTTTGAAACTATTAAATATCAATTTTAATAGACTTAACATGTAACAAGAAATAATATGATATCACTGTATCTAACATATAAATTCATATTCACTTCAAATGATTCCCTTTACAAGTTATTTAAAAAGTTATTAGGTGATTAAATATTTTGTATAAAAAATATAAAAATATTGATACAATCATAATTTTTTTAGAATATTAATATTTTTTCAACATATAAAAGAAATATATATTCACCAAAAAAATATAAATAATCACAAATTAGACTAATGAATATGTTTCCAAACTATTTAAATATTTATCTATTTAATAAATACTTCCTTAAATCATATGCTCAACTACATTTTTGTGACATATAATTGGATGAATAATAAGACTTCATAACTACTAAAATACATCATTGACATAATCAATAATTTGTATATATAATGTAAACAAACATTAAAGAATAATTAAAAATACAATTATATTAATAACAACGTACGTAAGTGATTTCTTTTTATTTATTAATTAAATATAATTATTTTTATTTATTTATCTTCTTATTTTATAAATTTATTAAATTAAACTATAAACGAATAATCTTTAAAATATTTTTCGTAATACAACATAAAATAAATAAATAGGACTGATAAAAAATATTTAAAACAAAAAATATATCAGAACAAAAATAAGACTAAGTATTAGGTGAACAATATATCCCAAGAAATACTTTTAAACAAGAAAAAAGAAGAAAAAAAAGTGGACCCTGTATCACTGGAAACCAATTAAATAACTAAAATATAAATTAATAACTACTACTTAATGTGACACTAGTCATCAGAAATAAATATAAATAATACTAATTTCAGCATATTATTTTTTATTAAATCTAATTAGAAATGTTAAATTTAACTACGACCCATCAGCGATGATCATGAATTGAAATTTTGATAGCATTATAATAATTTCAAATCTCATTTATTATGTATATATATTAACATTCATAGTAAAGGAAGTTGGTTCCATGAACATTTGTTTAGCTGCTCCAAGCCAAACACTTTATTAATTAAATAACTTAAACAATATTTTGTGGAAAAAAATAACGTGTACAAACCATTGATACTTCTTACTGTTGGAATGATCTTACGCCTAAATTTCTGCTTGCTAGAACAATCACCTTCCCCTCCTATTTGTTTGTTTGGTTTTGCTTACCTATTTCATATTACTAACCTTTTATCT